CCCCTGAAAAAATGCGTCATACGTCAGTAAATGCGAATTAAGTGCATATTTTGTTCCTGCCGTCCCCACCCGTCCAGAAGCAGAAATATAAAGAAAAACAAAAAGAGGGGGCGGGGCCGAGGGGGAAAAGGGTGAAAAAACAACAACAACAACACAAATTCCGCAAAATCAATTAAACTAGATGTGACAAAAAAAAGCATCAATCAGTTTTGGACGGAGGGAGAGGAGGTCGTCGGTGCCACGTGTTCGTGCCGTACTTGCGCAGTGCCGCCTCATCCGGAACTATCATTCCACGGCAACACTCCGACGCGCAAGAGCAGGGAAAGGGCTTCATCGTGTAGTCGCAGAACGTTGAGTAGTCGATGGTGAGCTCCTCATCCTTCTTGATGTCGCGGGAGGCAATAACGTTCAGTGAATGTTCCTCGCCAAAGATGCAGTTTGGATTGCAGGAGTGGTTGATGGGACGCCAGCTGCTAGGGTCGTTCTCCCAAATTGCGTACACATGACCGTCGACGTCGAGCGGCCACGCGTACTCTGAAAAAGTAACTTTTTCCTCCTCCCCCCAGTGTTTCTCCACAAAAGGTCGTGTGACAATGGCAAAACTACGTCCCTCGTCCTCAAAGACGAGTTCGCCTCTCTTGATGTCTTTGGTGGCGCACAGAAGATAGCCCCCGTTGTTGCCGCCGTATCGCACCTCCATAACCGGCCTTTTACAACCCTGCTCTCCCTCACGGACGCATTCCTCCAAGAGCCCCTCTTCGGCGGCGGCCATGAGAAGTTCGGTGTCCAAGTCAACTAGGGAGCAGCCAAGTTCCACATCCTCCAGAAGTAGCTGGTCCGAATACGGGCTTTGGTTAAAGCACAGCTTCGCAAAGCCGTACTTATTTATTACAAATTTAGCAAAAGATGTGGCGTAGCTTTGTATGGAAGGGGTGCATTGCTGAAGCCACAGATCGTTTTTGTGGCCCTCCTGTGTTATGGCAACGCAACCGGATCCCGATACCAAAGTCTGTAGCTCCCTACTCTTCGTGGCGTTTACTTCCCATACGAGGACTTTGTCGTGGCACTGTAGAACTTCACGCAGCACCCTTTGCAGGGTTGGCAGATCCGTTACGACCGACTGAAATACACGTTGAAGGGGGCTCCCAGTCTTTACTTTCACCGGCAATCGCAAACTAAGGTGCTCAATATCATTCTCTGAGGTCACCACAGAGAATGGGGGCAGTGGCAGTCCGGCATAAAAACACATCATAAAAAGAACTTCCAGTGGCTGCTTCAGCGTCATGTGACGGCACCCAGCGTAGGCAACGCCAAGGTGGTCAAGCACTGAAGCCAGCAACGCCTGACTGGCCCGATCCTCATCTTCGGTGCTTCCGGTACACAGATTTAAGGCGCATCGGTATGAATTGCGCGAGGCGCAGAAGGCTCGCACGGCGCTGTACATAGATGGTCCATTAAGCACCGGAAAAATCCTAAATGGAAACGTGGCTAACTGCTTGAGCCTTGTTGCTAGCTCATGCTCCTGCGGAGCATCGCAGAAAATGGCCACCACATCACCCTTACTCATTATTGCAGCCATGCAGCGCCCCTGGAAAATCTACGGAAGTAAAAAAAAAAAAGTAAGCAACGTGTCAAAGTTGTCAGCAAAGCAACTCAAGTAAAATTTCCACACACGAGGCGGAGAGGCAAGAGAACGGCAATTTGTGTACACAACAGACACCCACTTACTGATTCTTTGCATTGACGAGACATATCTCCCGTTCTCCAGCGCATTTTGTTCGTTTTTCTTTTGCCCACTCTCTTCTTTGTTTGCCTGTTGGTGTCTTTGTGTTCTTTCCCTTTATTTACCTTCATTGCCCTTTCTCATTTCATCCTTGTTGATTCTTCCGGGACAAAATGAAAAAAAAACCCTACAAAAAGTGCTTCAAACAGCAAAGAAGAACCAACACCATGATCAGCGGCACAAGCAGCGCCCACACACCAAACGCATAGAGGTACAGGTCCTTGAGGTGCCTCAGGTAGTGAACCATCACCTTCCCCGTTAGCTTGCTCTCACCCACCGTTCGAGTGGCAAAGTTAAAGCCTACTTCCTCGTACTTTTGCACGTGGCACTTAACAAAAAGCTCCAGGGCTATTTTGTAGCCAATGGGGCTCAAATCTTCGACGCCACGCTGAAAAACATCCTTACGGAGGCCAAAGAAGCCTGACATGGGGTCACTGAGAGGCGTGAGTGGGCGAGCAAGCGCGCGGGCGCCCCATGAGATGAAGCGTCGATGCAGCGGCCAGTCGCCATCGATGGCCACGCCTGCGCCATACCTGGTGCCGCAGACAAACTCCACCCCTGGGCTTTCGAGGGCGCGGAACAGACGAGGAACTGCTTTGGGTGGATGTTGCAGATCCGCGTCCATAACGAAAATGAAGTTTCCCTTGGAGTTGGAAATACCATGAATAACCGCGCTGCTCAACCCACGCTCCGTCGTTCGAACATCAATGCGTACGCCGTACCCCTCCGTCTGCAGCTTCTTTACGGCCTCGACCGAACCATCCTGTGAATTATCGTCAACGATGAGCATCTCCACCTCATTCTTGGCAAAACCGGCATCCGTGAGGGCATCAAACACCTGCCTTGTGAGCGAATCTAGGTTCCCACCCTCCTTGTATGCGGGAACAACTATGCTGTATTTGATTGGCATCGAGCAGACGCGTGGGTTCTCTTTCTTTTTTTGCTCCTTTTTATCGTTCCCGGCCCCAAGACGCTTTTCTTTTTTTGGTTGTTATGCGTATTTCTTCGGGGAGAAAGAGAAGCAAGGCAAACAAATTGGCTTCATCACGGCGCATGCACACCCTGGGTACGTCCCGCCGCCCCAACTGCAGGAACGGAACTGCCGGGCCCGCAAACACTCACTCCTGGCCACACGATGAAAAGCCCTGGCGCCTCCGTGAAAAACATCCAAACGAAAAGAAAAAAAAAAGGACGAGAAAACATGAAGAAAAAAAAAAGAAAACAAAAAAGGAGAATCTATACCACTTGCCGGTAACGATATCAATTTATCTTAAGAAGTTCAATTTCGAAAAGAAGATCGGCATCTGGGGGAATGCCCCAGGCGGGGAAACCCTTTTTCCCGTAGGCGTAATCGCCAGACATTGTGAGCTCGGCCTTCTCACCGGCAGACATCATCAGCATTCCCTCGTCCCAGCCCCGGATCACCTGCCCGAGCCCCACGCGGAAGGCGAAGGGTTCATTGTTATCCAGCGTTGACCAGAACTTCTTCCTGCCGTTGGCAAGGTACCCGGTGCAGTGGACAGTGATTGTGTCGCCCGCCTTTGGTTGCACGCCGTTTCCCGCGGACAGCACTTTGCGCGTGACGCCCATTGCTGAATGAAGTGATAATAGGCCTGGGGCACAAGTAAAGCGAGGTTCTAAAGAAGAGCGAAAACAGTGCATGTGCAAATGCAGCAATTGGTGCCAGAAAGGGAGGGAAAGGGGGGAAACATATCCCAAAAAAAAAATACAACAACAACAACAGTTGACAAGACAAAAACGAAGAAAGGTGTCAAAGACGATTTTCCTTGCGATTGATACCAGAGCTCACAGACAAGCAATTCGCCCTCTTCCTCCCGCATGTGCATGCGGAAACCCGGCGTATACGCAGAGCCAGAGAGAGAAAGAGAAGGCGAAGGCGAAGGAGCAGATATAACCACAGAAAAGAAAGGCAAGTCAATCATACGTTGTCTTTCCCCAACACATTTACTATCGGATCCGCCGGCGCAAGTAAGCCAGCACACGGTGCGATCTCACACTTCCAAAACGTCAGCAGGGCAGGGTAGGGGAGGGAAACTGAATGAAGGAAGTGGAGTTGGGGATAGGGGGAACAACAGCTGCCGCCCCCCAACCAACAGAATAGGCCTCTACGCGTTGTCCCTCCCTCTTCCCTACATCTTTAGCAGCTACTTGTGTAGATGGGAATGCAGCAATCCTCTAAGGCGTTCCACCTCCATCTCCAGCTGTCCATTACGAATTTTCATTTTCTGACTCCTTGACTCCTCAAGCAAAAGTTGCTTGCGCACCTCCTCGTTTCGTTTAGAAAGCAAATTCACGGAGGCATGTGAGTCCTCTTGTGTAGCACGAATCTTCTGTCGCAGTTCCGCCACCGTCCCTTTTAGCGCCTCACATTCTTGACTTCGACGGGCAAGCCTGCCCTGTATCATCCGTTTTTCCGCCTCCAGCGAGGACAAGCGCTGCTCCCAGGATTCTGCGCCTTCAGCAGCAGCACCGGATCGTATGGCCGAGAGAATTAGCACCGCGTCACGCTCTGCGCATTCAAATTCCGGTGAAAGGTGCGGGACAATTCTTCGTAATTCGTAGTATGAAGTTTCCATCCCCCCGTCCCCGTCGCCCACGGGGCTTGGCGTCAAGCTTCTAGCCGAGTCACTAGAGCTCAAACGTGGCCTGCTCTCCTTCTGCCTCCTGTCTCTCTGAGGAGAGTAGTCGTGCCGCCATGGGGGCTGCATCCCCCCGCTTCCATTGCCTCTAAACTGCTGCCGCTTTAGCCTATCAAGCTCCTCTTCCAGCTTCTGCAGACGCGCCTCCTGCGACAGCGCATGGTCAGCGTGACACGGTTCGAGTTCACCGTGTTCGTCATCGAGAAACATCTATCGGTTACCTTCGCACACTCCTGGCCTCCGAGGCGGCAAACAAGTGGCACACTGCTGAAACAACAGGGGGGGGGGGGGGGGGCAAACGGAAAAGGAAAAGACAGAAAAAAAAAGATGGGAAAAGCGGATCCGCGTACGTCAAATATATATATATATATAATCCACAGTCATGGTGTGGTGTGTACTAGAACATAAGACAGCCCTGTCTATGCTGCACACACACACACACCATGTTGTTTTTTTTCGTTTTTCCGTTGTTCTTCTTGTCTTCCTCGGCTTGGTGATTTTTCATAATTTTAGCTTACGAACAGGTGTGCTGCTTATGCAGTGCGGTCCTTAGAAATGGAGTAGAAGAAGAACAACCGAGGGGGAGGGGAAGAGGCGGAGCCGGAGATGTCTATCAGTTGGCACCTGACACGTACTGTGGCTGGCGCCTCTCCTGTCGTTGGTTCTCAAAGTATCTGTATCGTCGGCGCAGGTTATTGATGCGCATAAAATACTTGGATTCCGTCGTGCGGTAGGAGGACTTTTGCACCACGTCGATGTTTTCTCCCTTAACGGTGTAGTCGAGGGCTGAACGGACGGCGTAGCTCCCGGAGAGCAGGTCCGGCGACAACGCATCGTGCACCAGCTGGCGGTAGCGCAGCTTCATCGCAAACAACGGCAGATGTCCATCTTCCACGTCTAAGACAGTCTTCACAAGTTCCGTCGTTGTGGTTTGGTACACGCCAAAGAACCCACGCAACTTAATGATATCCTCCTGCTGCTTCACTGCCCGCCGAAAGAGACGCGCCTGAAGCTCCTTGCCCTCCGTGCCCTTGTAGACGCTAATGGTGATGGGAGGAATGGCAATAAACTTTGGGCTACAGCGATCAAACACCTCACGAAATCGCTCCTCGTCGCCAGCTGACAAAAGTTCCTTGTCGTCCTCAAAGGCAGACAGCTTCCTTGGCTCGATCAGCCAGCTCAAGTTATCAGGCTGCATGCCGCCCAGGATACAAGAGACGACGTACATGTAGGCACAGTCAAACTGCATCTTTTCTGAAAATTTGCGGCTCATCACCTTTGTGGCCAGACTGAGACGGAAAACGCGACTGGCATCCGCATAGCGTCGAAGCATCAGATAACTGAAGCCAACGTGATACAGCAGCGAAACATTTGCAGGAGCCACCACATTCAGGATTTGCCGTCCACGACCGTAAATGTCCAGGGGCTTTAAAGCAGTTAACGCGCCCATATAGTCACCCAGTAGCACATTGACCTTGGCTATGGTGATGATTCCGAAAAAGCCACACATCCATTGCGCATGTTTAGCTCCGGGCTTCGTAATTTCATCCGACGTTTCCGCTTGAATAACCTCCTCAATGCCAGACTCTGCGACAACCCTTTCCATCAACTGCATCGCCTCATTCACAGACCACCCAAACCTTCCTGTAAAACGTTTCTGGTACACCACGGTCATTTGGAAGAGAAACTCGTCAAAGATGTCCCACAAAAGCCAGTTTGGCACATCACAGCTTCCAGAAGGAAGGGCATTAAAGAGATTGTTGAACGTGTCCCAGGAGGACTTGGCGTCATTTGGGCTTACTGCCCGGTCTGTAAAGAGGTGCTTGAGGCGCAGAAACGAGTACAGTTGCTCGGCAGTACGATTTTTAAAGCAATCGGCAACTGGTTTTAACCGCAACGAGGGCCATGGGCGGAACTGCCCAGGACCGGCCATGTAAAAGTTCTGCGTGAGGTTTGGGAATTGGCTCTCGTACAGGTCGTGCAGGTGGCTTGTGTCCCACGAGTCCACCGCCTTGTTAAGCGCCCTGAAGAAGGAGTACACCTCATGGGGGATGTCCGACTCAATATCCGGGTTCGTTGTCATCTTTCACTTTCTCCTGGTTTGATTACAAGCAAATTTCTTCAAGAGGAGAACCACCACCAGAGAAACAGGAGGAAAGCCACAAAAAGTGCCAAAAGCAGAAAGTGAATACGGCCGAGCCGCACCCTGGCGTGCTGCCAGCACCGCGCCTACGGGCAGGGGGTGCTCGCAAGGAACTAATGGAGGCGGAGAGCACGCGTCTAGAGGGATGCCCTGCCCCTGCCCCCGTCCCCGTCCCCAGCGCAGAGGAGATTTATGTACAACCCACAAAATAAAATAAAAAAGGCAAACACAACCCTTCCAGAAAAAAAAAAACGTTTTGGCTTACCAACATACACACACATACACACCGAGATAAAAAAAAAAGAAATACACGCACAGACACAGACTTGCATTTTTTTCCAACTGCTATTACGCCTACTCCTCTCCTTACTCTTTTTCTTTACTGACTGACGCAGCTGCTTCGTTTTCCCATCTTCCCTACGACACCGACGATCAAAGGCAAAACCAACCAAACAAAAGTGGGCAATAAAAGCCATTGCAAGAACTGAAACAGGGGTAGACACTCGGTGCAGAAGAGCAGTAAGTGATGGAACTTTGGTGGGCTGTACACACACAAAAAAAAAAAGGCGGAGGCGGAGGAGGGAGAGATCACGGCATAGCGATCGTATAACTGCACGCGCAACCCCTCCCATTCCTCTCGCCGCCGCGGAAGGCGGCAGAAGCGCCACTCACAACCTAGACACCATAAGCGGCTTCAGGCGTTGGTAAAGCTCTGCGAAGACCTTCCGCCGCTCCAAGTAGATCTGGTGTTGGCCCATGTCGGGGTGGTGCGTTTTCACAAGCGGCAAGTGGGGTAAAAGCTCTTCAATAGGGCGCTTCTCCATGGCCACCTGCGCCAAACGGGCAGCTCCGAGGGCTGGCCCCACTTCAGCTCCACTGCAAAAGTCGAGTGAGTGTCCCGTGACATCCGCCAGCATCTGTCGCCAGAACGGACTGCGGGTTCCACCGCCTATCAGTGTGATGTTAGTGGGTCTTACGTTGCAGCGGTGCACTGCGTCCATTCCCTGCGCAAGCGCGAAGCTCACGCCCTCTAGCACGGCACGTGCCACCTCAGGGGGACCATGCTGAATTGTCAAGCCAAAAAAAACACCTTTGGCATCAGCATTATTGTGCGGTGTTCGCTCACCGGCGAGGTAGGGAAGAAACCAAACAGGTGCCACATCGAATCCCTGAGCCTTTTCGGCATTGGCGACAAACTCAGCCACGTTTTTACATCCCGTTAGCTTTGCCGCCCAATCCAAGCACGACGCCGCGCTGAGTATGACAGCCATCAAGTGCCACGAGTTAGGCAGTGCATGACAAAAGCTGTGCACCGCCTCCTTGGTGTTGTAGCGAAATCCATCAGACACGATGAAATAGACGCCGGAAGTGCCAAGAGAAAGCATCGCCTGGCCCGGTTTATACAAACCTGCACCAACGGCGCCTGCTGCGTTGTCACCGCCACCGCCCACCACAGGAATCTCCTTCATGCCCCACGCCTCGGCAACGCCGGGCGTCAGATGACCCGTGACTTCACTCCCTTCGTAAAGCCTTGGCATGTGACGACGCGACAATCCACACGCATGCAAGAGGTCATCGTTCCAGTCACGCTTTGACGTATCCATCCACATTGTTCCCGAAGAGTCAGACATCTCAGAAGCAAAGTCGCCCGTCATTCGATATCGCAAGTAATCTTTAGGTAAAAGCACCTTGTCAAGCTGCCCAAACACCTCTGGCTCCTCTTGTTGTACCCAGAGCAACTTTCCAGCTGTGAAGCCTGGCATCATGAGGTTACCCGTTGTCTCTCGCGAACGCGGCACAGCCTTCTCAAGCTCACGGCATTGCAGAGCGCATCGGCCGTCGCACCAAAGAATGCAGGGACGGAGAACTCGGCCCTGCTTGTCCAAAAGCGTGGCACCATGCATCTGGCCGGAAAGTCCTATAGCACGAACCTTGCTCATGTCATGCTTGCGCTTGAGAATAGAAATGGCCTTGTTTGTCGCCGTCCACCACGCCTCCGGATCCTGCTCGTTCCACAGGGGCTTGGGCCGTGACAGAGCCAGTCCCGCGGTCGCCGTGTCGATGAGGCTGCCGTCCATCGCCATCAGCGCCACCTTCACGCCCGAGGTTCCCAGATCAATGCCAGCGTACATTTCCCGCGTGCTATGATGTGATGTGGTGTTGTTGCTTGTCAAGGTAGCCCTCCTTCAAGCAGGCGCCACAAAAAATAAATAAATAAAAATGAACTAATAAAAAAACACACACACAAAGCGGGGTAGGGCGAGATGCGTACATATATATATATGTGAGCTTATGAATAGGCGCAGAAACCACTTTCTTTTCGGTTATTCACTTTGAACAAAACAGAAAACGCATGACCTTCAACTATACTCGCACAGCAAAGCGGTAGGTATTCTTTAGGCAGTGCAGAACGTACAACACACCAAGGCGATCGCCGGAGAGAAGTATCTCGTCTAGCAGCGGCACATTGAGCAGGGCACGCTTCTCAGTCTGCAAAAATGAGACACACTTCCTAATGTTACGTCGCTTTGCTGCAGCGGCCCTGGCATGCATCTCTATTGACTCGAGCTCCACGCAGCGACGGTGCTCCAAAGCACGTATCACATGTGCCAAGACAACCCCGTCAGAAAAAATAAGGGATTTGCCGCTCAGCTGGAGTTCACGAGACGAGACGGAGAAGGAATGATCCGCGGCGGTGTAGTGAAAGTCCGAGCCAAGAACCTCAATAAGCCACCGTCGCATCGACGCCACCTCCTCCTCCGTGTACTCTACGCCTCTCAGAGTAGCAACTGGAGCATTCAACCTACTCTCCGTGACATTCGCCTCAGCCACCGGCGCAGGGGAGGGGGATGTTCGCTTAGTCAGAGTCGAGCCCACAACTCCCCGGCGCTCCCAAAGCGGTGAGGCGATGTGGCAACGCGGGGTTGCCTTGTCAGAGCCCCGTGAACCTGCCTCGTCCCCACTGACCCTTGCAGAGCGCCGCGCCGCCGACTCGCCCAGGCGTTGATGCTTCTGCACCTCGGGCAGCGACGCCGCAAACGCCGGCCCCGACGCCTGAATCGTTGGGGCACGTGGAGCCGGAGCGGGGTGTTGTCCTCCAAGGTACGGCGTGTCGCCGGGGCAGGGAGGGCGCCGCCGTGGAGGAACGTCGTTGGCCATTCGCATGACATCCTCTAGGAGCAGCAAGATGAATCGTCGGTCACCATAAAATACACGTTCAGGCGCGTCAAGAAAAAACGGACTCATCTTCACGGGGCAAGACGTTTGCAGCTCCGTAAACGCGGCCTGAATGTTTTCCATACAATTGGATTTCACCCGCGGGTTCCGGTAAACGGAAAGTCGGCGATGCGTGACCTTCTCCACCACATCGCACAATGCTGTGCCGTTTGTGAGGAATGGAAACACCGCTGGAACATACAATGCAGGAAATCGCTCGGTTCGCACACGCCACAGTTTTCGTTGTGGGGGAAGAAAGGGTGCGTTGAGGGCATTCGGGACGACGGCGTCATCCGGAGGCAACTGATGGAGAACGGGGTCAGCCAAGACATTGAGAGAATGCAAGAAGGCACACACTGCCAACTCAAGGGAGCGCATTGCATCCGCCGCGTAGCTTTCCTCAGCTGGGCAAGGTTGCCACGTCATGGACGGGGAAGACCAAAGCCCCTCACAAGTTGTCGGTAAATACGCCTCCACGACTGTGCGCATTAACGTGAATAGTGCCGCTGAATCCCCTCTCACAATTACACCCTCTGGACGTATGAGACGGCATTCCCTAGGGATTTGGAACGTCGCATTCTTCTCCGCGGCACGTAAGATATTTAGCGCCGCAACATAGTTCAACCGAGCATCGTCCAAGTTTTGCGGCCTTAACACAATCGCTGGGTGTGTCGCGCCTCCGTCTTTTGGGTCCCTCTTCAATGCAACATCCACCAGGCGACGCAGTGCAACCCCGTTAAGCACGGGATCATCGATGCGTCCTTCCGATTCGGTTGGGATCGCGTGCTACAATGTTAAGCCGTCTCAAGTAATCACGAATCCACACCTCGTCAACACGAGACACAAGTCGCATCTTATCCGGTATATCACCCGTTGCATGCTCTTTGGGAAAAGAGGACTGTTGCAAGCAGTTACCCTCCCCGCTAAATTCACGTAACGTGTTCGCCGTTGATGGCATCCCCCTCGTGGGAATCAACCGGCGATGTTGAACAGGAGCAGGCGCACCGGGCATCTTTTCCCCCGTTGCTCTCTCACCGCCCTGAAGACTTGTAGAGGAATTCCATGGTGGAGGGTCCGGCGGCGGCGGCGGCCCTGCATCGACCCTTTCAAGGTTGAATGTTTGTTGTTGCGTCACCCGCGCTTGGTAGCCAGAAATGGTGAGCCGCGTCATCGGGGCCGTTGCCATCGGGACAAAAAAAAAGCCGGCGTGCGGAGCTCGCTGAGAGGCCGCGGCGTCCATCATGCGCCTGTGTGCCATCAACTGGCGTGCGGCCTTGAGGGACATTAACCGCTCCGTATTCTCCCTGAGATCCACAGAACCTTTTAACTGCTTCAAGTCCACGCGCATTCGCTCAAGGAGCTCACGGGCCTCCTGCGCAATGACGTCCGTCCCTTCCTCATCGGTCTGTCGTCGCGGGGTGAAGACGCAACCCGAAGCGGCGCTCACCGGCTCCTTCCCGCATGACCCGCTACGGTCGCCCCCGCCCTCGCCTTCCCCGGTGCTCATTCTCGCAAGCTCAACACACGCCTTCTAAACATCCCTCTTTAGAGAAAAGGAAAAGGCATAGTGAATAATAATAATTTTCTTTTTCTTTGAGAGACAAAAAACTAAAACGCGCAGGAGAAACTGGTGCCAGTTTTCATCAAACTACGGTTTGAGAGCCGACACTCCTCTCCTACCCCCCCCAAAAAAAAAAAAACAGCCATCCAAACAAGAGGCACATAACTGTGCCATCTCGCAAGAGGAGGCGCCACTTTTATGCGTGTGATGGGCGCTCTTCAGCCGCATCCCCATTTCTCTCCTCCGACTTCGACAACGACGACGACGACGAAGTGCTGGTCCCTTCCTCGCTGCTGTGGTGATCACACTGGCACAAATTGTCAAAGTTGTAGTCAAACTGTGTCCCGTTTTCCTCCGAGTCAAGTGCCATGTGGTTGAGATTGAGGCGATCTGGCCGCACAAGCTTGCACGTCGGACAAAGCATACTCGTCACATCGTACAGCATCTGCTCACGAGCCCGCTTCCTCAGGAACCGCTCACGATCTCGCCGCTGACTTCTGGAGAGCATCTCCTGCGGGTTCAGGGTGGCCAGGACGGAAGGACCAACCTTCTCGAGCTCGCCGTCTAGGTTTCGCATGTTGGCTAGCAGACCCATGAGCTGATCGCGAAAGGACTCCTTGTCGAGATACTCGGCGCTCATTTTGTTCACTGCGGCATCAGCGTACGCGTCAGCCTTCTCCGGGTGAAGCCGAAACTCATCCAGGCCTCTCAGCAGGGTGCTCAGCTGCAAACGGGCCTTCGCCCTCGCTGTCTCCGACACCGCCATCACGTGGACAGCACGCTAGTAAGCAAATAGGAAGGGAGGGAAGGGAGGGGGGCAGCAACAAACAAACCGTAGTGCGGCAAGGAGGGGGGCGTCAATGCCTGCGGCAGCTGTGGCCGTGCAGAATGCAATCAGTCGCCGCACGGAGAGACAAGAAGCCATACAGGTGACATCCTCATTTCGCCTACTGCTGCCTCCTTCCTCCTTGAGCTTTTTTTTTTCCTTTTACAGGTTCCGCACAATCACTCTTCGTAGGCACCCGCAAGCAAAACAAAGCAAAAAGAAAGCTGTCGCAAGCCTATTCCAATTGCTTACATCATATTTTCCACCATCCGCATCAACAACCAAAGAAAGAAACTTCCGCCCTGCTTCCTTCAACAACTGTCACCGCCGCCGCCGCCGCGACGCCCCAAAGAAAACCACACACGCCAAAAAGTTAAACGCGAAGACGATTGCACTGTAGACGGTGGTATAGAAAGGGGGCCACTCCCCCAAAAAGTAGTATGCAACAGCCTCAAAGAAGTCTACAAAAGCCCTTGGATTCATGACAAAATGCTTCATATTTGGCTTCTGCCCCGGTGGCGGGTTCAGAAAAGGGTTTGACCAATCAAACTCCTCTACAACAGCATCTTCCGCGCCCCGCTGGTGCTGCCGCGCCGCTTTCGCCAATTCGCTCTCTTCAGAGTCGACCACACGAATAAATTCACGAAAGCATCGTGGGCTCTCAGGTGTGATGATGACCCGCACGGACTCGGGCAGTGAAAGAAGATCCTCGCACCAGAGATACCTCGCGTGCACCTCCTTGATGGTGCCCGGCCAATTGAGCAGGACGGCCATGACGCCTCCGAGATGGTGGCGAGCCGCGCGCGTTAGAGGATGGAACCTGTCGTAGTCGTAATTGCTCTCGCCAAAGTAGTCCAGGAGGGCCTGCGTGATGCGAAGAAGGTCCTCAGAGTCGGTCCTTTCATTGGCCACCCAGTACAGGGGCGATGGGGCGCGAAATGCCAGCTGCCGCTGGAGCGATTGGCCACGAAGCACACGATTCACCTCATCCACATCGTGTCGGGCCACCGCCTCCCGCAGTCGTCGCAGAGCTGCGACCGTCGCTCCTCCAGCGTCAGCTGACACAAGCCCCGGACACTGGCAGGAAACGAACAACAAAAGCGCCACACACTGCAGAGCAGCTGACATTTGCTGACGCACCTACACAAAATAAAAAGTAAAGAAAAGTATATATATATATATATCTCCCCAACTGTATCGTTGTCAATTACAGAAGCAATATGGATCCATTAACGGGCCAATCAATGTAGTGTATAAAGGCATCTTATTACTTTCCTCACTGCTTAGTTCATTATTATTTTAGGCCGTTCGCCCAGAATACACATACACAGAAGCACACACAGAATAATTGGCTTTTCCTGTGGCTTTCCTTTCCTCCCCACTGCAGTCACTCGCTCCTTCTCTCCCAATTCCTTAATCAACTACGCGTTTTTCCCCCGCCGTGAACCCTCTGGGCAGCGGGCAACAACGGAACTGCACTTCAGTAAATCCATCGCCTGGATTTCACCGGGTTTACTCAATGCGAGCGCTTTGGCGAGACGCATTAAAAGTTCACATGTGGCGAACGATGTTATTCCCCACACGAGTTCGCCAGGAAAATCCTCCTCTAGCATGGGCAAAAAACCGCCATCTTCTGGAATTGACGGTGTATTTTGTGAGGGGCAGACATCACCGCTTGCCACGGACTGCGAGCTACCGGCAAAGAAACAAGGAAAATGGGCAGGCTTTGGGCTTCTGCTAGAGTACCATTTGATAAGGCGGCAGTGCGTTCGCGCCGAGTCCAGCAAAAGACGAGAGAGGTGTAGGTAGTGGATGGAAGCCACTTCATCCGGACAATTGCAGATTGGCTCAACGGCAGTGTCGGCAACTGCAACTACGGGAAACACTTTGTATCCGCCGTCAAGCGAGTAACTCGGATGCAAGTTGCCAATGACACTGTACGATGAGGCACCGATGCCCACCTCCTCCATGGTTTCCCGCTGGGCGGCGGCTACAGGCGCCTCGCCATGCTCCACCCCGCCGCCGGGAAATGAGATCTGATTTTTATGATAGCGAAGATTTGACGTTCGCTTCGTGAGTGTAATGCACATCTCCTGAAACCCTCCCCCTGTGAACTCAGAGGGTGGCGAGAGGAGGACCAAAGTGGCGCCCTCACGACGACACTGCTTCTGCAGTGGGTCCCACAGGTGCGAATAGCGGCTCCCTGTGTGGAGGTCTCTGACGTAGAAATGTTCAGGAATGTGCAGCTCATCCGGTCGCAGCTGCATTGCCCTCTTCAGCAGCGCAACCCACTCCGATGTGGTGCGCGGCAACAAATGGGTCGCCCCAGCCGCGGCCATCTCGCGCTGAGAAGAACAGCTGCAAGGCGAAAAAGAGAGGGGGTTCGCTTCTCCTTCCTTCCGGCTCCCCCTGCTAAATAGGGCGCGAATAAAAGAACGAGAAAGTAATAATAAGAGAGAGAGAAAAAAAAGTGTGTGTTTGTGCAGGAAAAACGAGATCAACTCCCGCAGAGAGCAAGAAAAATAAGGAGCTAATAAGGCGCAAAAACAACAACAAGGAAGAGAAAAAAAATCGCAGCGAATAAAAGGGAGTTTTTCAAGACACATGATATATAAAAGAGTACATCGTTTCTAAGAGTAGGGCGTGCAAAGAGACCGCAGTGCGCCATTCTCCCGCGCCTCTCCCACACGGGCCCACTGTTTTTTTTCCCCCGCTCCTGCGTCAGGAAGCGTTCCCCGTCGTGTAGCGTGGGAAAGCCACTGCGAGCCCCCCCCCCCCCTATATTCCTCTTGCGTGGGTTGAAGCAGGTCGCCATCGCTGGCCGCCACCGGCAATACATATGCTCGCGGCGACGTGTCCCGGGAGGGAGCTAAAGTCCCTTGAAGACGACCACCGCCACGTAGCCCCTGTGAAACATGTACATGAGGTGTTTCATCTCGTAGGTGATTTCAAACCCGAACCCCTCTCCAATCACGCAGTGCCAGGATGCACCGTACTTCTTGTCCATCTGCTCCTTGATGTACTTGGCCGCGTGCTCGTAGCTGTCCTCGTGCCTTTCAATCGCGTTCACCACAATTTCCTTGCACTCCGCCCGCATCTCCTCCGTCATGTCGCTCATCTTTTCCAACGGGTAGTTCAGCGCGGAGACATACTGCCGAATGTAGTCGAAGTTGCAGGGCGATTCCGCTTCCTTGGCACCCGTCGCCGTCATTGGCTCTCCACCACCTGCTCAAGTAGTGACTTCAGTGGTTGGACGAAGTGTTTCCTTCCAAAAAAAAAAGCGGAGAAAAAAAACAATGATAGGCAAAAACACATCCGACACCACACACCACAAGAGACAGATATGGAGAGAGAGAGAAAGAGAGGGGAAAGGGAGAGCGATAGACGGAGTTAAACGAGAGTTCAGCCATCACAGATGCACCAAGAGGAGGGTGTGGAACACGCTACCCAGGCCCGTACACAGCGAAGCAAGTATACAAGCACAACAACAAATAAAAAAAAGAAAACTCATGTTCCCAGAGAGGCTGGCGTAACCATATAACTACGGACAGATAGTTTCTCATGTGTGTACCCCAATGGGATGCAGTGTTTGTGGCCCTTCGTCCCGCCCTTTTCCGCCTTGGCTCAGGAGGAGATGATCCCACCAAATTTTACGCCTTCATACGGCTGTCTTTCGCTGCCGTCCATGTTAAACAAGGTGATGCGAATCGGGCGCAGTGCCGAGAGTGGTCTATTCTTGAGGCAGTCAAGGAGAGTGCGGATGGCCTGCTCCTCCGACAAGGCCCCCACATCCCCAACATTCACGGGAGCCGTTGACCGCCTGCTCAAGAACGGCTCCCGATCCCGTCGGTAAGTCAGGCACTTGTTTTCAACCAACTCATCGAAGGTCATCACCACGCCCTTCTGCGCCAGATGTGCGGTGGTGGTGCCGGCCCCCCTATCAAGGATCCACGACAAGAGCGCCTGCTCAATTTCCTTCAGCCCACCCACGTTGCAGGCGAGGAGAACCGCAAAGTTCTCGTCATTGTTCTCGTCCGTGTTGCCGCCGGTCGGAAGAACGGCACAGTGATTTGGGCTTTGTGTTACGAGAGACTCGAGCATCTGCCTGGCCGCCCCCGGTGGGAGACGTCGGTTAACGCTGGGGTTGCGAAAAACATCGCTCGTGCTCTTGTAGAGGCGAAGGAATGGACAGAAACCCGGCTTCGTCTGCGGCGCATAGTGCGCTGCGTGGTCCATAATAAGATTCCCCCACAGAGACTTCTGCCGTGCGAGTGCCGTCGGCCCCGGCTGGAGCGTAAAGAAGGGCGGGAGCTGAAAGAAACTCCAGTGATCGGGCTCACTCGACATGTGGGCGGTAGGACCAGTTGTCAACCCTCGTCTCCCTCCTTCTTGCGATACTCCCCCAACAGCGGGAGGGAAGAAAAAAAAAAGGCAAGTCAGGAAAAGAAAAAGGAGGAGGAGAAGAGGGAGGGCACTTTGCGTCAAGAAGAAACACGCACGCCGATGAACTGCCAAGAGAGGCGGATGAATAGAGAAGGGTGTTTGTGCAGAAGCGTCCACTCGTACACTCGCCGTCGGGCGCAAAGGTGAGCCAAGCCGAAGTAATTATATAGAGTGCGTGGGAAGGAAACGAAACAAACGAAAAAGAAACGTCGTCCATCACTCCCCTCTTTGTTTTTTTTTTTTTGCCCTTTGCAGTCACAACAGAAGCTACACATAGACTATCGCTCTCGCACACGCATATATATATATATCTTCCTAGTTCACACTTTGTACCAATTCCACACCATTTTCTGTCACTGCCTTGCAAATGAAGTTGTCGTTGTTGATCACCACACGCTTTTTCACTTCATCGCAGCACCTTTGCATCAAGTCCACACCCTCCTGCGCCGTTAAATCAGGACGCCAGAGACGATCAAGCATCGCGGTCACAAAGGAGGCGCCGTACCCGTGGCAGCCGTAGGGGACTTCCTGCATCGTTCCGAGGTAATCCATGTAGTACAAATGCGGCCCCGTGGCGACGTCGTCATCGGCAGATGCAGAAACGTCATAGCCGGCGAGAAGACAGTTGACAAGATAGGCCCCATCGCGACTGCGCAGGGCACCGGCAAGAGCATTACGCATAAAGGAAGCCGCTGCAGAAGTTCTAATCACACGGCCGTGTTCGCGCATCCTCTTCAAGGCCATATTGCATTTGATGTATTCCACAAAATTGACCCGCGGGCCGTTTTCGCCTGTGCACGCCACCACCTTGTGGGAATCCAGCTGCGTCACCTTATCCTCCGTGTCCATGATCTTGATGTAATAAAAGGCATTCAGCCCTGCCGCCGCCACCAGCAGAAAGTTGTTGCAACGAAAAGCAATGGTTGTCTCCGACATCGTTCCTTGCGTCACCCTTAACGGCAGGCGTGGAGAATGATAAGCTCGAAACGCAAAAAAAACAACAACAACAAAAAGGAAAAGAAAAAAGAGAGAGAAATCCTTAGTTTTTTCTTTTTTAGTGTGCATATGTATGAGAGAGTGAAAGAGTGAGAGAAACACATAGTGAAAAAAAAATGAGGCCATGAAATCACCAGCGAACACAGGTGTTTGTCACACGTGACGCATTTAAAATGTATCCGAGCCAGCCCCAGCAAGTTACGTGGAGAAAACATTTACAGACATTACAAGCACGTTATGCAGACATCAGCACACAGACGCGCGTCATACGAGCAAGGGAAAGCAGGCATGCACAGCTGTCGCCAATCACTGAGTGGTACGGTGGGTGGCAGGCCGTAGCCACTGGCTCAGCCCAAGAGTTGTATGATGATAGTACGTGGAGCCATCCTCGGTCTGGTATTTTGCAAACCCACCCCGAAGCTTCAATTCAGGCCTTATCCATAGCAGAAGTTCCACCTCTTTCCCAGTATAGAGGTGTAGCATGAGGTCCACCACTGCCGCCAAGTGCGGGGCGTGGGCCTCAACCACGTGGAGAAACTCTCTCCGCATGGGGTGGGGCAACACCTTGCACGTCCAACAGAGTTCATCGACAGCAACCTGCAACGATCCGCAATTACGCAGCAAGTCATCCAAAAAGCCACGGCCGCCCTCGTCTCCAGGGCTTGAGCTCCAGCTGGAGAACTCGACATACTGCGATACAAACAACAACAACATGTTGTACACGTCTGGGTGAACTCTGAGATGCCTGTCCTCCTCAGAAGTTCCCCGGTCCTGCATCCGCTCCCTGGCTGAAGACGCCACTTCCACACTCTCCGAGAAATTATCCGCCCTCTTTGGCTCGTCGTGCCGCCTTTTCTCCGGCGCCCTCTGTGCAAGTTCCGCCCTTTCCCGGGCTTCAGTCTCCTCTGCTTGCTCCACGACGCGCCATGATGATTGCGCCGCGCTCACCAGGTCCCGCAAGGATTCTAGATATCGACACATGTTTAGCTGAGCCACATGGACGACCTCCAACGTCACCCGCCAGGTGGGCTCTTCAAGAGCACTCGATGTCTGCGCCTCCACATCACGGTACTGTTGTGTCAACTCCTTCAGCAGACCTTGCTGCTGCTGCAGTGCCTCCGTAAGCTCCTCCATGCCCATCGTCTCAGCTGGGACTGACAGCAAAGATGAGCCCGACTGCCTCACCTCACTACGGATGACGCGGAGAAGGCTACTGATGTACTGTCGCAAACATGCAAGAAAATTCTCATTGTCACGGACCGTGGTCTTTCTTTGCTTCTCGAGAAGCTCCACCGTTTCACGGTAGACCTGTTCCAAGGGTCCCAACAGCCTTTGCAGTTCCGCGCGCAATAGCGATAGCAGCGCCGCGGCGTCGACACCTGCCCCCAAAGTTTGTCCCTGGTCCTGTACCTCTCCCCTTGCCTGATTCTGTTGCCCAGGTGGTGGCTTTGCAAGCGCAGAGATGTTTTTCTGGAACCTTCCCTGCAATGATTCAAACTCCCTCCATTGCCCTTCCTGAACCAAGTGGCGGCTCTTCTTCTCACATGCGGCCAATTCCACAGCGCGCGTGCAAAACACCAATAGCCTGTGCTGACGGTAGTGGCGTTCCGCCGCAGACTTGTACGCGTCCTCCAGACCTCGTCGCTGGTCTGCCTCCTCTCGTCGCAGCTTCTCCCTCTCAACCGCAACCATCGTCATGTGGAAAAACAGGCGGTGCTCCTCCCCCTCGATCGCGCTTCGTTCTTCGCACTCCTCGGCATTTACAACGGCAGCGTCCGTGGTGTTCAGGTGCGAATTCAACTCCTCGGTGAAGCGCCTCACGTCGCTGCCATCGACTGAAACTCCCTTCAGCCCGTTCCTTCCCCGCCATTCCTCCAGTGCCTTTTGAAAGACACGATCCCGCTCCTGCTGCGTGGGTGAAACGGCCACGCGCACCCACAGCACTGCCCCGTCCCGCAGGCGTTCCCGCTGCGGATTGCTCGCCATATCCACCGGCGTCGTTGCGCGGCAGTACTTCGGTGGCTTTCCCTCCGTCTTGTAGAGCACAAAACCATTCCACTTCTCCACGCCAAGTTTGGATATCAGCAGCGGAATGCACATCATAAACATTTTTTGCGGAGGCATCGCAAGGGCGATACGATCTTCCCACGACCATTCGTCCCCGATGATTCGCAGCACAACCATCTGTCTTCCTGCATCAAAAAAGAAAGGAAAATGAGAAGCTGAAAGGAAAAAAAAAAACAATGCTCAAAAAGCGGTCAGAAAGAAATAAGTGTGCATGCATGCATAGCACATACACTAAAAGGGAGCAGAGAATGACAGCTAGAGCCAAACCACCAAACTGTGCGCCCCAGCTCAGCAAAACGCAGGAATGTAAGTGGTGGGAACGGCGGCAGCGGCAGCAATGTGTCGTTATTGATACACTTGTTGTTGTGATGAAAATGATGAATGCCATGACAAGAGTATATTAAGTATGCAAATAAATTCTTTTTAAAAAGAGAAAGAAAGCGAAGGGATAAAAGTGCACGAGGCAAAAAACTACACCACATCAGCGTTCAAAAAATTAAAAATGCAGGAGGCTTTCTCTCCGTTGGCGCGTGCGACATCTATGGGTGTGCACCACACGCCTCGAACAAACGCCCCTGTCGAAAAATCACCCCCCACATTGTACAAAAATTGTAGTGAATGCAAATACTTATCATCAGCAGCGCACAAATGTGCCGCCGTCTCGCCTTCCGCAGTGCGGACATTCACATCACAGCCACTATCCAGCAAGAGTTGCAGCAGCAACCGGTTTTCCTCCTGCGTGTGAAGGCAAGCCGCGTGAAAAGGGGTGATGCCAGCTGCATCCTTGGCGTTGACGTCCGCCCCCGCCTGCAGCAGATCTCGAATCACATCTAGCGATGGTTGACGCAAGCAACATGCGACGTGAAGTGGGGTTTCCCCACACTTGCCACGTTGAAGTACTAGTGGCGGAGACACAGACGTGAAGCGGTGCAGGACATCACGCACCTTCCATGACGCACCCTTGGGGCTTTTAATAGCCGTCACGAGCTCCGTCAATTCCAAGGAAGGAACCTGCGTCTTGTCCGCTTCAGTTTCTAAAGGAGCCGTGTCGCTCCTGCGACTGACATTGCAGGGCGAATCCGATTCTATAAAGGCGTTCGTCAACAGGGCGGGGTGCGCATCGTCCCCCGGACGATGGCAAAGCCCAGAGGGCGCCGCTGCCCGTGAAATGTGGTAACGAGCAAACACAAATTTTTTGTTGAAAGAAATAATAACATTGTCCGTGCCCCTTGTACACTGATGAGCCATACGCGATCGCAAGGAGTGAATATTCTCCTCTGCCTTTGCCTCCACAAGCTGCAGCCCCACCTCTGTCAAAGATAAGTGGTACATCTCGTCCCACAAAGATTCGGCATTCAAGGACTCTGCCGCGAGCCTAAGCGAAGCCATCAGCTCCACGCACCGCATGTATACCAGGTGAAATTGCCTCCAAATACGTGCCTCCTCCCTGTTTAGTGCATCTAGAATGTTTTGAAAACGACTCATCTCTCCATCCTGACGCAGGCGCAGCTTCTGCATTAATTCTTCAATGCGGTTCAAACGTCGTGTTAATAGCGCAATAGACTCACTACCTGGAAGCAGCAAAACCTGATCATCTTCTATCTCGGGCCCTGCCACATCAGTAGGCATGTCACGCGGAAAAGTGCATTCAATTTTTTTTAAACAAAAAATTGTCGTTATAATACAGATACGTTTTTTTTTTGCCGAGACGTCTACCTAAACTGAGGGGAAAAAAGGGGAGTTGGAGAAAAACTCTGTAGAGGAAGCGTCGTGGGGCTTTTAAAATCAGGGAAGCTGGATGCAGCTGCCCTTATCCATAGTGAGCGAGGGGAGAACTTTTGAT